TTTGTTCTTCTTTTTCTTTCAGTTTTCTTCTTCAACTTTGAGTTCTTCATCTCCTTATCATTTTTCTTCTTCACTATTTTGTGTTACCCATCTTGATCTTATCGTTCATGGTCTAGGACTTTTTGTTCATTTTTTCCTCATTTTTTCACGTTTTCGTCAACTCTATGTTCTTCTATATGTTTCAATTTATCCTTTTTCTCTTCTTTTTCTACATCGTTTTTCCCTTTTTCCCTTTTTCTGTTTTCTTTTTCGATTTTTTCCTCTGCGCCCTGCTAGTGTATTTGGCCTCTCTTACATTATTCCAAAAATAAACAGAATTCAGAAAGCCATACTTAAAACAAACAAAAAAAACAAAAGACTTAAAACCTGTTCATTAGACAATGAAGATGATTTATGATATGTTGACATGGTTTTAATCACGTTAAGTAAGGAAGAATAACTGACAACACAAAACAACAACATATAATCGAGGAACACTACTGCTGGTACTGAAAAACGGAAAAAACAATAGAAAAAAAATCAAAAAATTGATTTATAAAAAATAAAGATGGTAAACAATACAACGAAAAGCCGACCAATGTAGAAACCAAACCACAGTTGAGCTTAAGATACATTTAAAAAAGTAATATATTTATATATAGCTCTCAACTTAAGCTAGGATTTCCCACATCACATGTATATTTTTTTCAGATAAACCGATTGAAATTATCTTAATATTATCAAAATAACTAAAAGTGGCAGCAAAATTGTTATACAAACCACAAAAATAAATTAATTAAATAAGGATATTTTAAAAAGATTTTATTAACGAATAAAGGGGAATTAGTTACCTAGATTGAATGAGAGACCTTATAGCGAAAAATTTACTTCGCATATATTATATATGATATGATTTTAAATATTTTTTTGATTAAATTCCAATTTATATGATGATTCGTTATTTTCTATTTTAAATATTTTTTGATTAAATTTCGATTTTTAATATTTTTTATTAAATTTAAATGTTTTTTATTAAATTTCGATTTTTAACAATTTTTTATTAATTTACGATTTTTAATATTTAATTTTTGATTTTTGATAATTTTTAATTAATTATTAATTAAGTACGATTTTTAATAATTTTTTATTAAATTTAATTTTCAAAAAATATAAGAAGGGGTAAAAAGTAATTAACCACCCTAAGATTGAATGAGAGAGCTTTAACTCAAAATTTTACTTTACTTATAATATATATGATTAATATTTTATTTATTTATGATTTTTAATAATTTTTTTAATTAATTACGATTTTAATAATTTATTATTAAATTTAATTTTAAAAAATATAAGAAGAGGTAAAAAATAACTAACCACTCTAAGATTGAATGAGAGAGCTTTAACTCAAAATTTTACTTTACTTATAATATATATGATATATGATTCGTTATTTTCTATTTTAAATATTTTTTGATTAAATTTCGATTTTTAATATTTTTTATTAAATTTAAATGTTTTTTATTAAATTTCGATTTTTAACAATTTTTTATTAATTTACGATTTTTAATATTTTATTTAATTTATGATTTTTAATAATTTTTTAATTAATTACAATTTTTAATATTTTTTTATTAAATTTAATTTTAAAAAATATAAGAAAGGGTAAAAAGTAATTAACCACCCTAAAATTGAATGAGAGAGCTTTAATTCAAAAGTTTACTTTACTTATAATATATATGATGATATAAAATCGCTAAATATATCAATTACATTATTCTATTTTAATTAACACTTTATCCCAAACCGACCATACAGAAATTAAAATTTCAAACCTAACCAAATGAAATAAAATTTGATTCTGATTTGGATGTTTTCCACAGAACCGAAAAACAAACTTATATACAACTTAAATTTTTAACCAACAATCTAAACAGATGAACTTTGTCCATTATTTTTCAAAAACAGATATCTTTCTTTCATTTTAGCTATCGCAGACGATTGAAGATTCAAGATTGTATAAGGCCCAATTAAGCTCTCTAGAGTGGCCCAATTCAAGACCTCAACATTCTTATCAACTCACGCTGAAAATGAAAGTTTCTGTATATGGAAACCAATAAAAAAATCCGAAATATAATTCTGGATTTATTAGTTTCTTTTTTAAATTCCATTTTCCTAAATTAGCGTAATTGTGCATATGGGAAATTCTCGTCTCGGTTCTCTGTCAATCAAAGAATTTTCCTTTCTCGTACAAATTTTACCGTAAAAAAGATCAATTTAATTTATTTTGGTTCTCCGTTATTTTCAGCGGAATTGACAACGACAATTACTTTCTACAGTTCTATTACACTGAGAGAAATTGACGAGGCTGAAAAATTCCAATTGCAGTCAAACATATACAACTCTCAAGTCTTCTTCCTCCTCCATCAAAATCTCAAAACTTCCCCGATCTGGGGTTTGCTCCTTCAATCCTCTAAAAGCTCATCTTCTTCAACCCAAGAAGAAACCCCTCAAAGTCTCCTCCTTTCGATAATGGGTTGCTTCAGCAGCAAACACCGTGAAACTCAAAGAGACATCGCCGGAAAAAGCTCAATTCCGATCAATCCAGCACAAACCCATGTCGTTCATCAAGTCCCCGAGCATCGAAAACCTCAAATCCCACCGACACAACAACAACAACAACCAATCCATCAACAGGTTTCGACACCGTCGTCGAATCCAATCTCCGTCCGAGATCCAGACACCATATTAGGCAAACCATTCGAAGACATCAGGAAATTCTACAGCCTAGGGAAAGAATTAGGTCGAGGACAGTTTGGGATAACGTATAGGTGCAGAGAGATTTCCACGGGGAACACTTACGCTTGCAAATCGATCCTCAAGAGGAAGCTAATCAGCAAGCAAGACAAAGAGGATGTGAAGAGGGAGATTCAGATAATGCAGTATTTGTCTGGACAAGCGAACATCGTTGAGATCAAAGGTGCTTATGAGGATAGACAATCTGTTCATTTGGTGATGGAACTGTGTGCTGGTGGTGAGTTGTTCGATAGGATCATAGCTCAGGGACATTACTCGGAGAGAGCTGCTGCTGGAATCATTAGGTCGATTGTGAATGTTGTTCAGATTTGTCATTTCATGGGTGTGATTCATCGAGATCTCAAGCCTGAGAATTTCTTGCTCTCGAGTAAAGAGGAGAATGCTATGCTTAAAGCTACCGATTTTGGGTTGTCTGTGTTCATCGAAGAAGGTGAGCTTTGGATAGAACCATCTTTAGGAGTTGGATAGTTTTGGATTTGGTGTGTCAATGTTTGAAATGTATAAGATTGTCTTGCACAATCGAAAATCTGCGATTTTCCTGCTACATTCATAAGCAAAATTGGTGACTTATGTTCCACTGCATAAAAATTTCGACTTCTTTATTGAAAGTTTAGATTTTTGAACATATTCTTAGCAAGAGATTTCTGCTTTTTGTATAAAGTTTAGCTTTTAAAACATATTCTTAGCACCTTGATCTTTGAATGGAATCATCTTAGGTAGGTGATAGCTTTGAGTCTGGCTTTGGTATGTCAATGTTTCGATTGTGTAAGTATTGTTGAGTATATTTGATTCTTATATTCAGATGATTGATGTGCCGTTTCTGAAACTATATAAACACAGGAAAAATTTACCGGGATATAGTAGGGAGTGCTTATTACGTTGCTCCTGAAGTATTAAGGCGAAGTTATGGGAAGGAAATTGACATTTGGAGTGCTGGAGTAATTTTGTACATCCTACTCAGCGGTGTGCCTCCTTTTTGGGCTGGTAAGAAAAACCTTTTAAGCTAACTAAATTCCTTTGATTTGATTCCTTCTTCTTGAGGTTTGATCTGTAATCATATGTTATATTGTAGAGAATGAGAAAGGTATATTCGATGAGGTTATAAAAGGTGAAATTGATTTTGAAAGCCAACCATGGCCTTCTATATCTGAGAGTGCGAAAGATCTTGTGAGGAAGATGCTAACCAAAGACCCGAAGAGACGAATCACTGCTGCACAGGTTCTTGGTAAGAGAATCTGAATACCAGTTGAAATTGATTTTCTGAATGTTATCTAAAGCAATCAAATGGAAAAATCCATATTAGCGGGCATGATCATACATTCTAGGCTCAACACCGGAACAAGATAGTTCAGTCCATTGTGTAGGTCTTAAAATGAGACTGGTGAATCTTAAAGTCTTGTTCTGTCAATCTGTCTGTTGAGTTTATGGTCGTGTAACAAGTAATGCTTTACTAATATGTAGCAATCCTTATGAATTTATAGATCATCCTTGGATCAAAGGCGGAGAAGCACCGGACAAGCCTATTGATAGTGCTGTATTATCCCGTATGAAGCAGTTCCGAGCTATGAACAAGCTTAAGAAGCTAGCTCTTAAGGTAGAAGAATTAGCTCAAAATTTTTATTTTGAAAACATGCTCTTGTCATTCATCTCTTAGTGTAGCAGTTGACACATCTCTTCGGGTTGTGATTTGCGTGTTTGGTTTTCTCAGGTTATCGCGGAGAGTCTATCAGAAGAGGAAATCAAAGGTCTAAAAACCATGTTTGCGAATATGGATACTGACAAAAGCGGTACAATCACTTATGAAGAACTGAAAACCGGGCTAACTAGACTTGGGTCTAAACTCTCTGAAACTGAAGTGAAGCAACTCATGGAAGCTGTGAGTTATCTTCTGCATCTTTATTTTACTTCTCTGCATCCGAAATCTTAAAAAAACTAAAACTTGAAACACATAAATATTAATTTTTCAGGCTGATGTGGATGGTAATGGAACAATTGACTACTTCGAATTTATCTCTGCGACAATGCATAGATACAAACTGGATCGAGATGAGCATGTTTACAAAGCATTCCAACACTTTGATAAAGACAATAGCGGGTAAGTTTCAGTTTAAGAATCAATCTCCATCGACCATTTCTTGTGTCAATAGATTCAAGACTCGAATGTGTAACTATGAAGAGGCACTAATGTGAGAATGCATTGGTTATACAATAGGCACATAACTAGGGATGAGTTGGAAAGTGCCATGAAGGAATATGGAATGGGAGATGAAGCTAGCATCAAAGAAGTTATATCCGAAGTTGATACCGACAATGTAAGTCGCAGTCTCTCTAACCTAAGCCAACATCAGACATTAAAGCGGTTCTTGAAACCTTGTTTGTATTGACTACTCTGTTACAGGATGGAAGAATAAACTTTGAAGAATTCTGTGCGATGATGAGAAGCGGTACCACGCAGCCACAAGGGAAACTCCTTCCTTTTCATTGATAAAAATTAAAAACAAAAGCCCCTTTCCTTGTTTCCCCCTTAAACATAGATCCAACCTGAAAACCAATTCTTACACTCGGAGAAGAAGACTAAACCGGGGAAAACCGATCACTTGATACCGTCTTAAAATGTTATTTCTTCTCTATGCGGTTTAGTTTAAAAGTCATTCACAAGAACAGAGTTAGTTATTCTTCTCTTTAAACTGAGTTTGAGATACTGTCATGTCTTAGCTATTTGTAACATATGCACTTTTTTGGAAAGTTTTTGAGAATCTCCTTAATCCTAGTTTTTTATTATGTTTTTCTTCTAATTTATGTAAATTATCTTAAAAACTTACCAGTATGTTAAAAAAAAACAGATGCCTTCTTATTCTACATCCTTGCTCTCCGATTTCCAAAATGCTTGTTGTTTAGCGTAGAAATAATTCTTAGAATGTCCTAATCTATCTTTTACATGTATTTGGACGAGACAAAATAAAAAAATGATTCTCTATTTCTATTATTTCTATTATTGTGTTTTTTTTTTCTTTTCTTTATCTAATCTTTAAACTAATCTGAAATGCTTATTGTTTAGCGTAGAAATAATTCCTAGAATGCCCTAATCTAAACTAATTTTCAGATTTGGCTGATGTAAGGTAGTTTCTAAAATGCATAATCTAAACTAATTTTCTGATTTGGTTGATGTTGTTTAGTTTAAGAAAAGCTAAAACATTTTCTTACTTGCTTAATCGTTTATTGTTTGCATCATATACTGTATTGGTAATCGGTTTCTGTTGATGTTGTGCACAGTTTTCACCAACAAAACTTATTAATATTTTAACAAAAAAGTTTATTCTTTGGTTGACTTTGTTTGTGTTTAGAAAATTTCAAGCGATACAAGTTCAACTATTGTGCTAATGATCTATATAATGTTTTTGTGAACATGATCGACTCCAGTAAATTTACGTGATAGGTTTATCGGCATACATTGTATAGTGCTTGTTAGCATTTGAAAATTTGTGATTACAGAAAATAACTACAAAATACCTATAAAAACAAAAAAAAAAATCAAATTCTCAAATAAAATAATAGATAACACAGATTTCTAGTTAACTCATTCATACTCATACCTCAACTGCCTCTGAGCCCTCCAAATGCACACAAGTGCAGTGTGTCTTTGTAAGAAATAAGATGATGTCATACAATGTAGAAGTGTTGCTAACATAGATAAAGTTGATAATATATACGTAAATTGAATAATAACATGCATCTGGCTGTTAAATTAAGAGAGTATTGATACTAAACAAGAGTTATGAATAAGAAAGAGAAAGAGAAAGAGGAGTCACAGCACTCAAAACCGTGAAAAAAAGTCTTTTTTTTAGATCCTAGCAAGTATAGTAATGCAAATTTATTTGCAAAAAGATTGCAAAAGTGTGTTTCACTTGTTAGCACATCAACAAAAACCAGAGCTTGGTGGTAACTTTCAATCTTTCATCATCACCGTTCTTCAAACTTTTTCATCTTCACAATGTCATGATCTTTTGTTTGTGCGTCCATTAACCCTCCATTGTTTTCTACTGTGTAAACAAGACCATCATTAGCTGGGTTTACATCAATGTGTACGGTAGACTTCTCATTGATGTCTTCTCGCACCATCATTTTTTAAAGTTCTGTCACAGTTACGGTTGCTAGCCATCTCCTAATGGGCCTAGCACCATATACCTACACATAATCATACAACATAAGTGACATCATTTAACAGATATAACAGTTCAACAGAGCCGGATCTGGGCTAATTCCATTGAAATATTTGCCTATGGTCCCCAAAATTTTTAACCAAATCTAACCTATAATTTTTTTTTTTAATAAAAATAAAAAAAATCAAAAAATAAATAAAATTTCAGCCCAAATTTTTCGGCCTAATTTGGCCTGGTGAAACCCAAAATTTTTTTCTCTTATCCAAAAATTCTGTTTCAAACCAAAATTTTTTTTTTATGAAGTAAAACTAGTGGCCTTCAATTTTTTTTTTTTTGTTTCAAACCCCCAAAATCTCAGATCTAGTCCTGCATCTCAAACATACTTTTTAAGTGAGAAGGATATCGCTGAGATCAAAGATGCTTAGAACATTTCCAACCATGCACCAAAACACCAATTTTAGATTTTAATTTTTCTCCAATGATACACCAAATCTAACACCAATTTTTTTTTAGTGTTTTGTGAATAGTGTTGCACTAAATTTGGTGCAACATTATTCACAACACCAAACATCAAATTTTTTTTTTCATTTACTTATATAATTATACAATTATTTATTAGTTAAATTAAATTATATTGGTTTAGGAGTGTAGGATCTATTCTTGTAATTTAGAATTACACAAAATATCGTTATTAATATGTAAATAAATATAGATTAGAAATACATAATAAAGTTCAATTAAACATTTCAACAGAAAATTACTGAATTAAAACAAAAAACATAAAAGAAAAACAAATTACAACAAAATCATTTTAAAGACAAAATCATTAGTACAATATAATTTTTTCTACTATTTTTTTATCGATTATAATCTTTATTTTTTTGTTACTGTCATATCGTATAGTTAATCTATTTTATGAATAATTAGTATTCATTAAAATTATTAAAATAAAGAAAATTTTAAATTTAATAAGATAATAATATAAAATATTGTTTTTAGTGTAAGATTTGGTGTTAAGATTGGAGATGAAAATAAAAACTATTTATTTTTACACCAAATTTTACACTATTTACAATATCAAATTTAGTGCTATAGTTGGAGACGTTGGTGGAGAGTTGTTCGATAGGAATCTAGTTTAATAGCTAAAACATGTTAATAATCAATACAATACACAAAAACCGGTCTAAAAAGTCTCCGAGGACGAAGTCCACTTATATAATAAACAAAGACTCAGTTTTATTTTTTTGTAACACTATTAAGCAACCACGATTTCACCATGCTATTGCATCTACACCAGATCTTATAATAAGGATCAGATTCATCAGGTTGAGGTATAGAACCATCGAGAAATCCCATTTTGTTCTTAGCCTCTATACTAGTAACCATAGCTATGCTCCAGATTCCATAGTTCGTGCCATCTAAGGCTTCAGCAGTGAGAACGAGACCAGGATGATCCGAGCTAACCAAATGATAAGGACTATGAACATTATCAGGAGAATCTGATACCTCGAACGGTTGTAGAGACCGTGGAGTGATAGATCGGCGAGGATCTAAGCGATTCGGAACACCAGTAGCGTCGCGAGAGGGAGGAAGATCCGTGGATTGATCGCGAGCCTTCAAAGGTGTGGGGGAACCAAATTCTGGTGAATCTGGTGATGTATTGCGATACTTCGACTTGCATTTTCGTTGTTTCCCCATTGTTGACTGAAGAACAGCTCAGATTCCAGAAATCGAGATTTGAGGCTGTAGAACACGGGAACGTCGAGAGAGAGCTCGTCAAAGCAAGAGAAACGTGACCGGAAGCGGAATCGAGAGATTTTCCGGCAAGATGCCGAAAAATTGAGCTCAAAACGAAGAATCTGAGATCGGAAAAGTTTGTTAGACTCTATCGCTCTGATACCATTTCACCAACGAGAGATAAAAGAAAATTCATTCTCATTGATTGAATAATAAATTTACAATTGTGCTGGTTTTATACACAAAAAGAAACAGGCAAACCAGTAACCCAAAAACAAAATTGAAATCGGTTTATACTATACCGATGTACATCAAAATCAATCTATACCAAAGCTATACAAAACTACTCTACTCTATATACAATAAAACCATCAAAAGTCAAAACCCGCTCCTAAAACTTACATTTTGATGATCCTCGAAGATCATTAAAAAGAAATAATGTATTTAAAATATAAATTGTCACTCGGTGTACCACAGATTACAAATAATCTATCATTAAAAAGAAATCGAATAAAATATAAATATTTTAAACGTAAAAGTATCATATATATATAAGCAAAGTAAAATTTTGAGTTAAAGCTCTCTCATTCAATCTTAGGGTGGCTAATTACTTTTTACCCCTCCTTATATTTTTTAAAATTAAATTTAATAAAAAATTATTCAAAATCGTAATTAATTTAAAAATTATTAAAAATCATAAATTAAATAAAATATTAAAAATCGTAAATTAATAAAAAACATTTAAATTTAATAAAAAATATTAAAAATCGAAATTTAATAAAAAATATTTAAAATAGAAAATTAAAAATCGAAATTTAATCAAAAATATTTAAAATAGAAAATAACGAAAATTTAAAAATTGGAATTTAATCAAAAAAACATTTAAAATCATATCATATATAATATATGCGAAGTAAATTTTTCGCTATAAGGTCTCTCATTCAATCTAGGTAACTAATTCCCCTTTATTCGTTAATAAAATCTTTTTTAAATATCCTTAATTAATTAATTTATTTTCGTAGTTGTATAACAATTTTGCTGCCACTTTTAGTTATTTTGATAATATTAAGATAATTTCAATCGGATTATCTGTTGAGCAAGATTATCTGGAAAAAATATACATGTGATGTGGGAAATCCTAGCTTCAGTTGAGAGCTATAAATAAATATATTACTTTTTTAAATGTATCTTAAGCTCAATTGTGGTTTGGTTTCTAAATTGGTCGGCTTTTCGTTGTATTGTTTACCATCTTTATTTTTTATAAATCAATTTTTCGATTTTTTCTATTGTTTTTTCCGTTTTTCAGTACCAGTAGTAGTGTTCCTCGATTATATGTTGTTGTTTTGTGTTGTCAGTTATTCTTCCTTACTTAACGTGATTAAAACTATGTCAACATATCATAAATCATCTTCATTGTCTAATGAACAGGTTTTAAGTCTTTTGCTTTTTTTTGTTTGTTTTAAGTATGGCTTTCTGAATTCTGTTTATTTTTGGAATAATATAAGAGAGGCCAAATACACTAGCAGGGCGCAGAGGAAAAAATCGAAAAAGAAAACAGAAAAAAGAAAAAAGGAAAAAACGATGTAGAAAAAGAAGAGAAAAAAGATAAATTGAAACATATAGAAGAACATAGAGTTGACGAAAACGTAAAAAAATGAGGAAAAAATGAACAAAAAGTCCTAGACCATGAACGATAAGATCAAGATGGGTAACACAAAATAGTGAAGAAGAAAAATGATAAGGAGATGAAGAATTCAAAGTTGAAGAAGAAAACTGAAAGAAAAAGAAGAACAAAAATGGTAGATGAAGAAAATAAAGTATAAGAAGATGAAAATCCGACGATGAAAAAGAAAATAAAAAAGAAGAAAGTAAAGATGCGAAAAAGACAAACAAAAATTAGAAAGAAAAAATGTTTGGATAGGACAAAAATGATCAAGAATAAGTAAAAAGCAGAAGATAAAAACGGCTAATAAAACCAAAAGAAGAATAGTAGAAAATGCTGACGAATAAGAATTTAGAGAATACAAAGACAATAAAATAAAATAAAGAAGAAGGGGCAGACAAATAAAACAAAAAAAATCAACAGAAAAAACCGAATGAAAAAAAATCAAGAAGTCAAAGAAAATGAATAAAATACATAAGAAGAAATAGTCAAAAACAATGAAAGATAAGAAGGAAAAAACAAAGAATAGAAAAGCTAAAAAATAAAAAATAAAGAAAAGGAGAAGAATAAGAAAACAACGATAATATGAACAAAAAATAATACAGTGAACAATTAAGATATAAAAAAATAGTCGGATAGGTCGATGACGATGAACAAAAAAAAATTAAATGACCAATTGGAGAAGAAAAAAGATAATCAAAAGAAGAAGTCTTAAAAGAAAACCAGTAGATAGTAGAGGAAGTGAAAGAAAAAAATAATAAAATAGAAGAAAACGAGAAGATGAAGAAGACATAGTTGAAAAAGGTAACTATGATGAAACAACGAAGACAAATCAGATGAATAAGAAGTAAAATTCAATGAAGACAATAAAGAAGAACAATTTGAAAACAAATAACGATAAAAAAGAACTCAAAAATATAAGGAAAAGACTCAAAGAAACAAGAAAATATAAACCGTGAAAGAAGTTAAAAAGACAAATAAGACAAAGATCCTTAAAATATGATGAAGAATTTGGAAGAGATGAAAAAATTTGGAAGAAGAGGAATAAGAATCTGTTGAAGGG